AGAGGTTCTCAAATATGAAGTCTCTAACAAACATGGACGACGCTTCAAGATAACATGTTGGAGCGCCGCTGGTTTGGGCTTGGATTTTCCGTCAGTATTGCTCGAAGTCGAACATAAGTGGTTGCCGCCGCCGTCCTCCCATGGCTTCGGTTTCGTACTTGCCTGCCAACCAACATCCCAGCTGACTCAGGAAGTGTTAGAGAAAGCCTTCTCTAGACATGCATTCCCATGGCCTGTGACAGTGGAGAAGAACCCGTTGTTAGACCCTGGCCAAACTCTATATCCAGCTGGCGTTAACGTTGCTCTCTTGAAGTCTTGGCTGGATGTCTGCATCGAAGAACATGACCACCAGTGTCGCCCGAGACCGACAGATGGTCTGAATGGTTTGCGAGTCATTGATTGTGAGCTTCGAAGACTCGTTCCTGCGCCGCCTGCATGTCGATACGCAGCATTGTCGTATGTCTGGGGCCAACAAGGCGGGAAGGTCAACTCGACCAAGACCCGAGAGATAATCCCAAAAACTGTCGAAGACGCTATTGAGACAACCTTATCATTGGGATACAGATACCTCTGGGTTGACCGATATGTAGGTAGACCTCAGTGCCTTTCAGTCCCTCCTTCAGTCTGCTAACTGTTCAGTGCATCGACCAGTCTGACGTACACGCGAAGCAACATCAAATTATGCAAATGGCAGATATCTATGCAGCAGCGCAGTTCACCATCTTCGCTGCGGCTGGCAATGACTCGAATCATGGGCTTCCTGGAGTACGGCCACAGTCTCGGGGTCTCTCCTCCTGCTCCTATTACGCATCAACGAGATCAGTGAAGTTAATCCGCTTACCTCACACAAAGCCCACCTTGAACTTGAGAGACATGTCAAAATCCTCGTGGGCTTCGCGAGCGTGGTAGGACATCCGATCATCACACCATGCTCATAATGAGCTGACTGTGCGTTTAGGACATTCCAAGAATGTTACTTCTCAAAGCGGCGTCTCTTCTTCACCGACAGACAAGTCATTTTCATTTGTGGCACAGATTCCTACTACGAGGCAGATAGACCCCATGGCGGCGGCGGCCTTTCCGGGGACGCTCACCGGAAACTACCAGGCTGGTTTGCCAACACCGCAAAAATCGAGGCGGCTGACACCATGATTGCGTCGATGGATGTATTGAGGCAATACAGCACTCGCACGTTATCCTTCGACGCAGATGCGCTCAACGCCATAATTGGTGCGATGAACTCTTACGCCAGACACGGTGTTCAGCACATCTGGGGAGTCCCTTGGAAACGCTCCTCGGCAGACTACTCACCTGGTTTAAAGGACATTCTTTCAACTAGCCGCAGTGTTAGACGGGATATCGATATAGCATTATTGTGGGATCACCGGCAACCAAGCATACGCCGCAACGGATTTCCCAGCTGGTCGCCCCTCGGATGGAAAACCCCAATCCAATGGTCCGGATTTCTTGTGGGCCGTGGGACTGGAAACTACGTCACACCGGAAGCAATAACTGTGCGAGTAAATTCCGATAAGGGTTTCCACAAGCTCTATGATCCAGCCAACCCCGAGGAATGTACGCCAGAAGGACTCTCGCATTACCTCAAAATAGAAGCACGAACAGCAATGTGCAATTTGCAATTCCAAACTGCGCGCATGCCCAGAGAGGAGGACTTTGACCCACAACCAGGGATTAGAATGTCACTGGGTGATGGATGGGATGCTATTATGGAGGTGCGCTGGGACCTGCCTCCGGACAAGGAAAACGAAACATTGTTGAAGTGTGTTCTACTGCCCGCCGCAGATCTTACAAAATCCACCGTGAACGAGTTGTCCGCTCAAGTTTTCATACTTGAGCACCACGGAAACCATTACGAACGTATAGGTATGACTCGACTGCCCGCACGCTTTGACCGTATGCGCTGTTTCGCTCCATTCTTTGGTTTCCAGAACGAGTCCGGCCGTGTCTATGCAGCATACGATGAACTACCTTCAGACGTGGAAAAATATATCCAGTCTGTCATGGTCGATCACTGGTGGTGGAATTACTTTGAGCCAGATACTATCATCCTTGGCTAACAAATACATTGTGGCCTCATGTCGTCCTATTGACTCATCGTACACAGACCCTTATGGCGATAATTATTCAGTGCTTCAATCCGCAATCGTTTATCCATATTCTGCACCTGCTACGGCCCTGTCACACTCCCATCCGTCCCCACAATCACCGTCCTCGGTGCACACGCCATAAACAAATGCTCGTCCTCCGCAATCTTCTTCGCCGCCTCCGGTGCGCTAATGATGCTCATGAACGTCAACGCATGCGTCATGTCTCGAAACTGCATGGTTGCCATGGAGTCATAGTCGACGGGGGAGCTGGCGTTTACAAAGGCAGGGTTGCCGCCAACGTAGTATCGTGTGTGGATGACGGGGAAGTTTGAGCCCGTGAGCGACTTGACGAGTGGGATGTGGACGTTGTCGTAGTGGTCGGCGTATTGGGTTAGGTTGAGGCCCGGGAGCATGGTGCCGAAGACGAGGGCGGTGAAGTAGGGGAGCACCATCTTGGAGGTTTTCGCAGCGCGAGAAATGCTGATACTGCTTTGGTACAAGGTGAAGGAGTTGTAGATGGTAAAGAAGGTGTATGTGCTTGTATGTGGTGATGAAGATGCACCGGAGGTATCGACGAGTGAATGGCACCTTCTTATATCGCTATCTCAATCTTCTCCCAAACCCGTTGGAAGGAGCGATAAGTTCATTTAAATGCCCTGTTGGCTCTAACTGCCACGAGCGTACATTCCACGGGGCTTCTCGGTAGAATGCATAAGCCAGCATTCCAGCCGGACGCCACCACCGAGGGCTTCCCGAATGTATCGATTATACAAGAGCGTATACCCAGCTAGAACGCCTAGTTTACCATGGCTACGTCGCTTCGGGGATGGATCGCGAGGCGAGGCATTTGCGAGGTTACCATGAGGGCTATTCAGCTCCACTATTATCGGAGTTGTCGGAGCAATCGCGCTTCCGTACATCATGTTAGGACTCACGAATCCTTGTGAGTTGGGTTGTTTCCGCTTCGCAGTCGCGGCGGTTCTTTTGTTGACCGTTCTTGAAGGATCTCGGACTAGACTGGATTGAGGAGCGTACGCGAAAGTGCGGGGCCAAGGCAGCCGCCGGATCGCGGCAATTGGTGCACAGCTGGGAAACGTGGCAGAGAGACGCGCATTACACCCGAGTGCGAAGATGTAAGCGGGCATGAAAGGCAATGGCGAGTATTGTAGGTATGTCTTGACATCGTCACTTATCGATAAGGATGCATTCAAGAAGGACAGTGGTGGTCGCAGGCAGTTCGGCGGGCGGGCCGATGACAACGCAGCCAGACCCACATCGCCCAGGCGCGCATGGACTGTAGTAGTCGTAGGAGAAGGGCCGTTCAAGAACATACAATAGGTGCTCCCATCCGCGCGACACCTCCTGCTCACTATGGTACCTATCTTCACGAGCGCAGCCCCAAACATCGCGCAGCAATGAGCCAAATAACTTTGAGCAATAGAACACGCCACTTCTACTCGTAATCGCGACGTAATTGCCAATGTGCACCTTAACACTGCATCACCATTGTGAGCCTGATACTCCCCAGTGGTACTCATTACGTGTAAATGCACGCCCGCCACGCCATGCCATCGAATCCCTGCGAGCTGAAGCGAGCTGAACATGGCTGATGACTGGAGGCTGAGCAGCCATGGCACTTGACAACCCCACCAAGGCACCAGTTCGCGCGTTTTCCAGGTTCAGCCTGATGCCATTCAAAACTCATTCTCCATATTTACTGAGATCTCAGGACAAAGACACAACTAGTTCGACATATCTCTGCTTCGCAATACAATTGTTTCACTCACCGGTAAGATGTTTGGTCTCCAGCGCGACTCGAAACGCTACCACGGTCACCACCTTACACCCCAGGACGCCAATGCAGATCGGACCCGCAGAAAGCGATACGTGATTTCTTTGGATGGCAAGAAGCGAACTGATCATCTTCCGGACCGAGGATACCGTTCCGACGATGAATCAAAGCGGCGACATAGGTATGATGGAGACGAAGATCGACACCGTGCCAGCTCTGCGCATCGGCCGAAGGAACTCAAGCATCGTCAACCAGAGCCTTGCGATACTACTGAGAGGCATAGATCTACTGGGAGAGTTAAATCGAGGTCAAAAGAACAATACGGCGAACATCGCTTTGATAACTCGTACCCAGCGCAACACATCTATTCATTTCCGGCGACGTCAGAATTACCCTCGTACAACGCGGTTTATGGCGATCATCGTGTAGAATTCAGCGCTCACACTGTACCCACGACCTTAAGGCATCAACGTCCGCCTATGGCATCTGTAGAGGTGGAGTTCGGCGAGCATCGCTTTGTTGACGAGGAGCAGGTGGCTGGAGCATCATCAACAACGAAGCCTTTCCATCAAGACACCCGACGTGCAACAGATTGGTCGTTGCCAGAACGACCATCAATCAATGAACCAGCGCCTGCGTCAATTTTCAGAAACGAAAGCAACACTCGCGCCAACGATCACGATGACATCACCGGACAGGGCACGCGCTCACCAATAAACAATCAGCGTATTCGGCATGTATCTCTGCCCTCCAGGGTGCAAGAATTAGCACCTACTCATGGAGATCCCATCCTGCAGGAAGGTTTCAACAGCCGACCATCTACATCTGCACCCAGTGAGGCATTCAGCGCAGACGCGAAGCTTCCACGCCTCTCTGTCTCACGGTACCCATCTGATTTTGGCATCCCTACCGGTGCAGTGTCAGCAGCACATACAGACAAAGCAAGCCCTCAGTCGGTGTCAGGGGCGTCCACAGTACTCTCAAGAATGCCCCCGCGATCGCCATCATTATCTGGCTCTGGGGTACTCGGCTCAAAAGTGTACCTGTATCAGCCACTCCAAGATTTTGAGATTCGTCTGGTGAAGGTCTTACCGGAAAGGATGTGGAAGCTCAAGTGCGAGATTATTCATGTCCCTCTTTATAGCGCGCCGGAGTACACTGCCATCTCGGTAAGTCATCGTCACAAGCTTCAGGCATCTGCTGATATTAAGCTTCTATAGTATGCTTGGGGTGATGGGGTCGATACGACATCGCTTGTGCTGGAAGGCGCGACAATTCCTGTCGCTGTTAGTCTTCATGATGCGTTGAGAGCAGTGCGTGATGAGAAGGAGGAAGTACTTGTGTGGGTTGACGCTTTGTGTATCGACCAGCAGAACAAAGACGAGAGGGCCACCCAGGTCAGACTAATGGGTCAGATCTACCGAGGTGCAATGTCAGTTGCCATTTGGATAGGGCCGGAGTACGAGCAGAGTGCCCTGGCTCTACAACTACTCCAAAAAGTGGCCGAAAACTCGATTGACTCGCAACACATCAGGTCCACTCGCAACCAAGACTCTCTGGCGCTTCTGAATCTATTCAAGAGAGATTACTGGAAGCGACTGTGGGGTAAGTAGCCATGCAGCACTTTGTCAGTGATTCTTACTAACCAGATCAAGTCGTACAAGAGGTGCTTCTCGGACATAAGAAATTGGTATATTGCGGGCATTCAGTGTTTCCTTGGGAAGTATATTTGAAGGCCGCGGAAATCTTCTGGGATCAAGAGAGCGACCCGCATATCCGCCAAGGACCAACAAGCTTCCCAGACCGCGAAACCCTAGAGCAACTTGGAGACGAGTCGCTACTACAGGTAATGCGGACATGTAGGAAGAAGTTAAGCGAAAATCCACGTGATAAGGTTTTTGGCATTCTCGGTTTGCTCTCGGACGCTACACAACGCGATTTTCCCGTCGACTACAGCCAGTCAGTTAAAACGGTTTACACAGACGTTGTTGATCATCTCATCTCAACCACCAAAAGGCTCGATGTAATCCGCGAAGCCATACAATTTCCTCTGCATGTCAACTCCACTGGCCTTCCAAGCTGGTGTCCCGATTGGTCACACATCCCCGAGGTATCTGGTCTGGGGAGCACCCTCAACTTTGCAGCTTCTAATAACGCGAACGGCCCTACCAAAGCTGAATACTGGTTTCATGACGAACGACGGAAGCTCCAAATATCCGCAATCAGTATTGATACAATCACGGCAACGGGTGTCGCTGTTGGCACATTCTGCGCTGCTCAAGACTATCTAACCGCCTTTTTGGCATGGCGCGCGATGCTGCTACACGAACTCAACGTGAAAGAAGGCAATGACACCCACTCGATGCACGAATCTCTCTGTAGGACAATGTGCCTCGGGCAGGTCCCACCAGACTGGAACCAGCGAGGAATGTGGCAGAATCTTTGTTACCACGTTTTCGCAGCTCTAATACGGGAAAGGATGCCTCGCTTGCCAATAGACGAGGACCTCAAGCGTCACGTGGGTGCCACAGGGCTCATCGAATCTAAGGCACGGCGGAAATTCTTGCAAGACCATTTCGGCAACCGTATGATGGGACGTAGCCTGTGTATTACAAAAGGCGGCTTGATTGGTATGGGTTCGGGCTACATGACAGCGAAGGACGTTGTTGTCGTACCGTTTGGCTGCTCCACACCTATCTTACTTCGACCTGAGGGCCGTCGCGACGAGTATAAGTATGTGGGTGACGTCTATATCGACGGGTACATGCACGGCGAAGCTGTGGCTCAAATGGAAGCGAGGGATCCGAGAAGAGTAGTTTCTAAGTACATGCTTTGTTAATGCAGGGACGATTGTATTACACCATGAATGTTGCGGCTGTACTGCGGCGTTTTGACGATCTCGATGCAAACGCCAACAATATCATACACAAAAAAGCCATCTCTCTCACATACGACCATAGGATCTTGACACCAGCGCTTCCCGTTCGCTCAGCGGTACTTAAGCAAGATACCGGCGGATTAGTCACCCACTAGCGAATCCCCGCTGTTGTATGTTTTTGCCCGTAAGACCGTTTTTTTTTGGAGCCGCCAACGCGGGTTTTCCGCCCCCAAATTGCCCAGGTTTCGCCCTATGGCTTGGCAACCAACCACCGCACGCGTTACACAGCCACGACAGGCTCTAAGATGAGATAAACGCCTGGCCGCAAAGATCCTCCGCCAACTAACTTAATAAGTATAGAAGCACCTGCCAGCGGTAATCCCGTTATAACCAACCTCGGTCCCCCCTCGCACTAGGATGGCCATGCGCCTGCTCCTCCGCCTTGCAGATCCATCTGATCTCAACCTTAGTACAGGATGTTCTCAAAAGCTCTCCTTTTTTCTTCCTCCATCACAGTAGTCTATGCGCAAAGCTGTTACTGGCGCGACGGCGGGCAACCAAATCCCCAGTACCAGCCCTGCTCCAACGACACTTCAGACCCACTCAGCCACATCTGTTGCAACATTAACGTAGTCAATGGCGAGGGAGGCTGGGACAGCTGTCTTCCGAACGGCCTATGCAGGGCTAGCACTGGAGACAATAACTTCATCTATTTTAGAGAGTCCTGTACATTGTCGGACTGGGAAGCCGGAGGCTGCCAGGAACTATGTACGAACACAGTACGATCGCGCCCTACACTTTGGCTTTATGAAAGCTTACATCTACACACAGCCAAATCAAAGAAGTGGAGACGTGAATGTCACTCCCTGTGATGGTACCGATTCGTCTGAGTACTGGTGCTGTGGCAACTCAACCGCTTGCTGTGGTGACGATGCTAGTTTTGGGAAGGAAAAGGTCGATCGTGTGTTCCTGGGCATAATCTCGAGTTCTTCGATGTCTTCGATCGCGTCGTCTACAAGCACCTCGATGCCATTGAGCTCGTCCAGCCCCTCGAGCACTTCAACCCCATCGCCCACTACAACACCACCGAATGACGATAGTGGTGGCCTATCGACAGGCGCGAAAGCCGGGATTGGTGTGGGTGCCGCTTTTGGTGTCATCGCGCTGCTTGCTTTGGGTGCTTTTATCGGAAGACGGTCATATAAGAAGAAAAAGGAAACTGCAGAGATGACAACCTACTACGAGCCTGTCAAAGGAGAATTGTCATCAGAGTATAGGCACGAAGCTCCTACCCAGGATAGTTTCCTACACGAGGCTCCGGTTCCGCAAAAGCCTGTGGAATTGCCTGGTGTTCCAATTAGAGCTCAAGAGCTGCCTGGCTCTGGACGATAGCCCAAATTGGCAGATAATAGCGAGGTGGCATGCTGCACAATCGATGGCTTAGCACAGCGATGGGTCGCAGCTGAGCGTGAATGTAATACTCGGACGAAAGGCCGTTCATATTGGGCGCACATCATGAGTGTACGTCCTATCGAATACATCGCATCATGCTTCAATCCAAAAACTTATTCGTACGCTCCAGATTTTGTAGACTGATCAGCTCTATGCTAGATAATTTCGCGTCTAGATAGTCTCCCCGTAGGGCGCACCCTCAAGCTTGAACCCACCAGGCTGCAGCTTTTGAAAGACAGCAGCGGGATCGTACTTCTTCGCAATCGACTTGAGCTTTGCCAGCTTCTCGTCTCCGTAGCTCGGAATCACGTTCTGGTACGGTCCAGCATAGTTGAGGTAGATGAACTCGGTGTACAAATTCCGATCTTTCGCCTCAGCCTTGGCGGCGTTCATCAAATCCAGTGCGGCTTTGTTTAGCTGTTTATCCTTGGCCGCGTCGTCCCAGACCACGTAAAGCAGAGTATGCATGAGTGGACCGTCGGCGGGGGAGAGACCAAGTGCGTTGCCGCCCTTCTTGCTCATCTGCTCCATAGCCGGCACGGTGAAGGCTTGAAACGCCAGAGCGCCCTGGTCCGCTAGCGGGCCTACGTCCTTTTCGTGACGCGCTTGCAGCCAGGCCATGAACTCCCTATCGAGCTTGTATGTGGCTGCCCAGAATGCATAGCGACGGCCTCCGGGCATTTGGTTGGTGAGCATGACCGTATCGTTTGCCAAGGTTCTGTTCAAAGTATTCGCCATGAGTGGAGGGATGTCAAGGTACTTCTTAAGAATAGCAGGTGGGTTGGTTTCGTCAACGGGCTCGAGGTACTCCAGTTGAATTTGGGCCGCCGCGTTGCCCGCTGTCACAGCAAATGACAAGATCTGGGCTGATTTGGGGTCTTCGGTAGCGCCCTCAGCCATTGATGCAAAGGCATCGATTAGCGCTGGGTAGCTGGCCTGCGTATGAACTCGGGTGCCGCCCCACATCAACCCCTGGGGAATTGTCTCCAGCTCAAATCTTGTAACGACACCGAAGTTGTTGCCGCCTCCGCGAAGGGCCCAATACAAATCAGGGAACAGAGTTGGTGTGACCTTCAAGATGATTCCCGATGCAGTTACAACCTCGTAAGACGCAACATTATCGCATGCGTATCCGTAGATACTAGACTGGTGGGAGATGCCGCCACCAAGAACAAGACCGAGGCCTACATCCGATGCGCGCCCACCAACGACAGCGAGGTTGTGCTCTCCAAGCTTTGTATATACCGCCCCCCATCGGTTTCCGGGTCCGATGAATGCAGTCTTTTTCTTGCTGGAAAGTGTGATCTCGTTCATCGCCTCCATGGTAATGGTTATGCCACCCTCAATGCTAGACGCGCCCGGGAACGCGGTGTGTCCTCCACCCTTGACTGCAAAGGGACATTGTGTGAGACGGGATACTAATATCGTCGTCGATACGTCGATCGCCTTCGAAGGCCGGAAAACGCAGGCTGGGTTGACAGAGGCTGCCTGGTTGGACCAGTATCCGCTCGTGAAGGTATCGTAGGATTCTGAACCGCTAGAAAGTAGCTTGCTTCCGAAGATGAGCTTTAGTGAGCTACACTGTTGAGCATGTTAGCTGGAGTCTCCTACAAAAATGGCGTTACAGGTTCCTTACAGCGGCGGTACACGGATTAGAGAGTGAGCGCTTCTCGACCAAAGCAGCCAAGTCGGGAAGAGCAGAGACATTGACGCCATTGGCGAAGAGGGCTTCCGTGACGTTGAAGTCAGTAGGCTCGAAGGCGTCCTGGGCGACTGCGTTGCCAGCGAGGGCTCCAGATATGGCAAGGAACGAAGCCTTCATGTTGGGCTTGGATTGGAGGTTCGGTGGAAAGAAGCTGGAGCTTTCCAGAGCTATTTATTGCTGGAAAGACATTGATTCTGCGCGTCGTTTAGCAATCTTACCTGGGCAGACGTCTCCTTGCGCTTTGCGACTTCAAGGGAATCCGAAGGATCATAATTTGTTGTCTAGAAGCGCCGCAGTATGGAAACGATGCTTAGCCGCATACCGCGCCTCAATTCGGTTCTGCCGTGGAACCTGCATCGAAGAGGTGGCGCTGCCTGAGGCGAATGAGCATACTTCAATCTCGGAGCATTGGCTCAAGAAGAGTCGCGTGCAGGTACGCGCATGTGCAGGAGCTTGTGCGATGGAACACGCAGATGCGAGTCCATTCTCGCGTACGCGATGGAGTCCTTGGTCTCTGTACCTAGTTAAGCATGAATGGAAGCGAGATGCAATGTGGTAGATGAAGCACCCTCTACGCG